AGTAAACCAAAACGAATTAGTTCGAGCGTCAAAAGTCAGAGACAGCTCGGTTCGTTTAAGTCTGATGCAGCTAAGCTGGCAAGATTGATTATTGATTGATGTCTAGCAACAATTTCTTAAGTTCTTCAGGCAACATCACTGCTGCCCATAAGAAGCAGGCACATCGAGCGAGAGCTTTAGTTGCCACAGATTGCAGACAGCATTGAAAATGTCAAAATTATACCTAGAGAGACTAGCTTCTAGGCCAAATAGCCTGGCTAGGTCTGTTCTGCTAGAACTGGGACTAGACTCAGAAGACCTTCAAGACCTACTGAAGCAGCTTTTGAATACGCTCGAACTTTAGCTGTGAATTTAACAGCCCATAACTGTCTCTAGCCCTAAGCTATGTATTCTCTGTTCATTGTCATTCATTGCCTTCATTTGTCTTTAGTTTGAGTTGGTTGATTGAGAAAAGCAATTCTTATTTGAGTTAGTTATCTTATTCTTATTAGAATTCGATAACTAACTCTTATTGGCGTTATAGATCCCATTAAATTCATTATATACCAAAGCTTTGTATTCTGTATTCAAGTCATTTAGATTGAGTTGCCTGAAAGCTGCCAGAATTAATTATTTCATAATTATATTTATATATAATTATATTAATTACAATTACATGTAATTATATTAATTAAAATTATTAGCTTATATACACTTTTAACTTGTCTCTTATCACAAGCCACCTGCCAAGACTCAACTGATTTGCACTATGCATTCTAAAACCTTCCTCAATATATTCACTTTTGATTTTGTGCAGTCAGAAATTGTTGAAATATTTTGATTTAAAAAAAATCAGTCTTAAGGCTGAAAGGATATGTTGAGCATGACTTTCACGTTTTTACATAATACATATCTATAATGCTCGAAGCCGACCTCCTTTGCCTGCTCGCACGTGCTGGTTGGAAGCGCTGACTTGGAACTGGCCACGAAATCAATTTCTCTGTCAAATCAGCAGACAAGGGGGGCGCCCCAGTGTGGCTCCACATGTGAAGTCTGTACTGTAAAAAAACTGTCATAATACATTCTCCTACGAGAAGGGCGGAAAGGACACCCTAATCCTGCGCCTTTCACTCAAAAACTTGCCATTGCTTCGCTGGCTGTGCTAATAAAACTAGTAGTTCTTATACCCTGTACATTAACACCAAATGGGCTAATACGACTTCGAGTGAAATACATATATATATATATATATATAAGTATATATATATGTACTATATGCTATACACATAAAATCCTAACTGGAGGCGTTGAATATTCAGAGATTTAATTGTTTCGTAGCACACAGGGTATCTGCTAGTCATGCTGCCTCGCTCATTGCATGGCGTTTTATTGTTATTTTTCTTGTTGTTTCGCATTTTCTGCTCGACAAAACGGTAGACCCTAAAGTCACCGGCGTCAAGCAAACAAAGCTGCCACCGACTACAAAAGTGTCTATGGCGACGGCTGCCGTTGAGCCCAAAAAAAGGGACGGCCCACCACACAAAGCAGGCCTGAGCCACGAAAGAGCCTCAACTAGGCCGCCAACTAGTCTCAAGTTTCTTCAAAAATGGTCAATTAATATTGTTGCTATTATAAATTTGTACTCGATTATTATAATATTCAAATTGCTTAAATTAATTTATGCTTCAAGAATTAAATTAAATTAAGTGAAATTTTATATATAATATTGAAGCTCTATCTGAGCTTAGTGAATATTATAAATTTTCAAAATGTGTGCATTTTTCATTTAGATGTATGAGTTTTGGTAGAACATTTCATACATGAAGTCTGTCCGTTCGCTCATTCGTCCTTTCGTCACTCCGTCTAAACGCAAATCATGGAAATCTGAGCTCTTGAAATTTGGAATAAATACTCGTATGGCCATCGTAGCTTGATGAATTGTTAAGATTTTTCAGGTACGCCTGCTAGAGGCGTGGCACGCCGGAAAACACTGTTTGAAGTAAGTCAGGCGGACTTTTAGTTAAAGTACCTGAGACTTGTCTCAGCATTTTCTCGCTTTGACAAGCCAAGATCAAAAAGCTATAGCCATATGCCTGCCGTATCTTGCACAGCTTTAGAGCTAGAGCTGAGCTACTCAGTAAGAGATATAGATTCTTCGCAGCTCGACGGAAATGATATGTCTGTGGCCACTAGGGGCGTGGCAAATCGGATCTGACTTTAAATTGTTTTGAACAAATTCTGTTATATATTTTAAGCACTATATTGAACTGTAAGCCAGAGTCTTGAAGCGATTAAATATCTACGCCTATAGGGGGCGTGGCTATTGGTTAAATTATACATATTCCAAAGTTTTAGAGCTAGAAAAGAAGAAATTCACTAATTGAGTGACTGTTGAGCTGCTCTATTGATGTGACACAATACATGGGCGTGGCATATCGAAAATACCCTGGAATCGTGCAGTTACGTTATTGCTAAGAACTGAGCCAACACTAAGCACTGGGGGCGTGGCAAGTCCAGCAAAACTATAACTTCTACAACTCAGAAAAATAGCTGTGGAACCCGCACGAACGGGTATTATGTAGTGGGTAGCACCCGCCTGCAACAGTCTTGCTTCTTATACATAAACTGCACCAACTTTTCAAGACTTTTCTATTGCCGCACAGTCTTCGAGCTCTGCTCCAAAATTGAATTAGAGTCAACAAAAAAAAAAAAGGAAAAGAAAAAGAATGACATCAAGCATGTTGTTGTCGCTTGTCATTTGACTATCGACATCTTTGTCGCCTGTCAGCTGTCAGTTGATGTGCTTAAGTGTGTGCGTGCGAGCTTCTGTGGTTGCCACCCACACGTCCACTGTCACTGCCACTGGCACTGCGTTCATCTTGGATTTCAGCGTCGCTTCTGTATTTCGAACTGGTCTGGCCGTCGTCATATTGTGTTTGGCAAATCGTTTGCGATAAAGCCAACTACATAATGTCTCTGTAGGCCAGGGTGCGATCCGGGGCACGGGGCGCGGCGCACATAAAAATGCTAAACCAGCGCTATGCTGGCGTCGCAACGACGCAAACACCCAACTCATATGACCATATAGTAATGTATCTGTCTCGCCCTCCCTCCCTCCCTCTCTCTCTCTCTCTCTGCGTGTGTGTGCGATGGGGGGAGATGGTTGGACGCAGTATAATGCGCGTTATCCTTGATTGCCTGCTTCGATAGCAGGATATGAGGCGGCTGCAAACAAGCCGCTCAACGTTTCTTATAAATACGCACACTTTGCCAAAGGCAACACGATTCCTTCAGCCAACATGTGACGGCTATGGAGCTAGCCTTGCTAATAGATAAATGGGGCATATTAGTGATTGCTGAGCTAGCAGTTGGCATTAGTTGGACGAGATATCTGAGGTCTACTTTACGAGGGGTGTCAGATGGATTTACAATTCTCATACTGCAGAAATTCCATTGCTCTCAGAGTATTTAATCTTTGACATGTCGCAGATAGCCGAGCTCCATTGTGTTCGTCTGTGGGACTATCGTGATTTTGGTCTTATTATGTTCGCCCCTTTGTTGTTGGCGTTGCTCATTTCTTTTGGCCTTTGGCTTTGTGCTGTTCCGTGTACTCATCATCATTTGGCAAGAGGGCAAGCAAAGAACTCATTGCGACTTGATTGGTGTAACACACACGGCTTACAAGTTAGCCAGCCAGCTTGGCGAGCTACCATGGCTAATTGATTTCCAACTGCAGACTGTCAATGCTCCTTGGCCAAGTAGCAACTTGTGGACATGGCCAAGCCAACTAAGCAACTAAACAACAATTTTTAATTGTGCCCCATCGTCGCCAGTGCCAGTGGCTCTGACTGTGGGTGTGGGGCTGCTGCTGATGCTGTGGCGGGGGCCAAAGGCAAATGAGTGCTCCGAGAAATATGAACGAGGTCAATGATTGTTTACACTACACTCGAATGCTGTTTACTCGGAGCTATCGCAGCCAACGACGCACAGAGCTTAAGATTGGCTGTGACGGGGCGACCGAGCAGCGGGCTGACTGCCTGGCTGGCTGGCTGGCTGACTGGGCGAGCAAATGCTGCCACTAGACACCTACCAGAGCTAAGGCCCTTACCATCGCCCCACCGTGGGCTAGGGCCACTTGGCTCGCATGTTGTTAACTACCTCTCGCTGATAGCACATTACGCCCAGAAGCACAGGTGTGTGTGTGTGTGTGTGTGTCTCTCTCTCTCCCCCTCTCTCTCTCACTGTGTACACACGTACTACACACATAAATATGTGCTTATATAGATTGTGCCCTTGCCACGACATGACTTTAAATAAGTACCCTGATTACTACCACAATTGACTGGATCTGCTGGCAACTGATCGTTGAGGAGCCACGAGGGCTGTCAGGCTAGACTTAAAGCCACTCTGGGGCTCACACTGGACTCTAGCTCGGGCTTATTCAGAGTGACTTTGCCACAGTCTAACGTGGCGCTGTGTCGTTCGCTGTGTTTCCAGCAATTGTTCTGGCTTCCCAGCGCATTGTGACGGCAAATGCTTTCATTTAAGAGCTGCATTCATTGTCTCAGCATCCTATCAATCGAGCACAAAGGGCGCAGAGCTGCAGAAGTCAATGGAAGTCACTCTAATTGTGATGGCGTGACAAGTGAAAACAATTCTCAAGCGAAGTGGAGTGCAATCTCTGTGCCTCTCTGTGCCTCTGTGTGTGCGTGCTGTGCTTTGTCTATGCGGAATATTACGTATACGCCGCGCATGACATTAAAGTGCGAACGGTGCTGGGGCGCCGGCCTGTTACGCCCGGCCACGCCCAGCTCCAGCGCCCGTTTGATTGTTTGATTGTGTGCGCGAAAGCACTTTGCAGCGCGTTCATTCATTTATTTTCATATCTTCATAATGCGGCAACGCCCAACGCATTCATTTGCATCGCTGTCCAGCCGTTTGCCAAATTCCAGCAAAGCAGCACGCAACAAATTAAATAATTAGTCGCTTAATTAATGCCGGCGCGGCGCTAAATACTCCGG